CAGTCTACAAATAGCAAAGTTCAATCGGTAAGGACCTGGCTACATGTACACTATGGTGTACCCTTTAGTTTACACTTTACCACATGACATTACCCCGTCGAACAGTTTAAATTTCAAATAGTTTTTTCAACCAATTGACACTTGACAACAATGCAAGTGTCAAACAACGTTTGAAAAATCAGTGTACAAATAGCAAAGTTGAATCAATAAGAACCTTGCTACATATACACTATGGTGCACACTTAACTTTAAACTTTGCCACGTGACATTACCCAATTGAACAGTTTAAATTTCAAACAGCTTTCGCATCCAATTGACACTTGACAACCATGCAAGTGTCCAACAATGTGTCAAAAATTAGTGTACAAATTGCAATGTTCAATCGGTAAGAACCTTGTTACAAGTACACTATGGTGTAGACTTTAGTTTACACTTTGCCACGTGATATTACCCCACTGGACAGTTTTAATTTCAAACAGTTTTTCCATCCAATTGACACTAGACAACAATACAAGTATCAAACATCATGTTAAAAATCTGTTTACAAATAGCAAAGTTCAATCGGTAAGGATCTGGCTACATGTACACTACGGTGAACCTCCTAATTGCATGCATAATACATTTTTATTATTCTAATAAAACAATAGATAACTAATTATCTCTTGTCTTTGATTAAATCAAAATAATTTAAAGAGTGTTTCAAATGAAATAATTTAACTAGTTTAATTAATTAAAGTCCTAACTATTCCAATATGATAATTATTAAAAGACTCTATCATAATCGAAATCCTACGTGATTAAGAATAATAGTTTTTATCCTAATCAAAGTAGATTATGATTACAAGTAACCAATAATTATTATAATAAATAAAAGCTAAAAATCGACATTTACCTACTTAATTAGCAAGGATATTCCCTTAATTATAATTTCAAAACTTAGGCACACGTGAAAATAGAATCTCCCTATTAAAGAAGTAAAAAGCTTGTAATAGTTTCCATAAAACCATGGTTATGATTTTCATTAATTATCTTTTGATTACATTTTATAATTATCAATACTCAACATATTCAAGTTTCCTAATGGCCGAAAATCTGTATGCCTATTAATTAGAATTTCATTTATATCTTGTTTCTTCTATTGATTCTATCTTAATTCAACTTATCCAAAATATCATTTTCTTAATCCTAATATATATAATTAATTATTATCTATCAAAGGAGTCCAATATTGATATAGTAATTTAGTCCATATTGATAACTAATATTATTAACTAAGTAGTTTTCTTAATTGGTTATAACTCGAGTTTAACTTGACCAAATTAAATTTTTCTTGAGTCCATAATTCGCCATTTATTACAAGCTTCAAAATGAGCCCAATATTGATAGGGTAATTCTAGCTCCTTCAATAATTAACTATTTGGCCTATTTAATAAAGGTATAAAATCTGAAACTTATTTTCACTTTGGTCCCTCAACTATAAAGATATTCACATAGATCCAAATTAACTATAGAGATAACCAATTAACTTGTATAAGGACTTAACTGAACATTGCATTCCTATTAAATAAATTAATGCTAAGTAAAAATTCAGGATTTTACAGTGTACACCATAGTCTACATGTAGCGAGGTTCTTCCTGATTGAGCTTTGCTATTTGTACACTGATTTTTGACACGTTGTTTTATACTTGCATTGTTGTCAAGTGTCAATTGGATGGTAAAATTGTTTGAAATATAGATTGTCCACCAGGGTAAAGTCACGTGGCAAAGTTTAAACTAAAGTGTCCATCCTAGTGTACATGTGGCAAGGTCCTTAACGATTGAACTTTGCTATTTGTACATTGATTTTCGACTAGTTGTCTGACACTTGCATTGCTGTCAAGTGTCAATTGGACGGGGAAACTATTTGAAATTTAAACTGTCCAATAGGGTAATATCACATGGTAATGTGTAAAGTAAAGTGTCCACCATACTGTACATGTAACAAGGTCCATACCGAATTGAATTTTGCTACTTTTACATTGATTTTTGACTTGTTGCCTGACACTTGCATTGTTTTCAAGTGTCAAATGGATGAGAAAACTGATTGAAATTTAAACTATCTAACATGATAATGTCACATGGCAAAGTGTAAAATGAAGTGTACACCATAGTGTACACATAGCAAGGTCCTTACCGATTGAACATTGCTATTTGTACACTAATTTTTGACACGTTGTATGACACCTGCATTGTTTCCAAGTGTCAAATGGATGGAAAAACTGTTTGAAATTTAAACTGTCTGACAGGGTAATGTCACTTGGCAAAGTTTAAACTAAAGTGTCCACCATAGTGTACATGTAGCAAGGTCCTTACCAATTGAACTTTGCTATTTGTAGTCTGATTTTTGACACGTTGTTTAGCACTTGCATTATTGTCAAGTGTCAATTGGATGGAAAAACTGTTTGAAATTTAAATTGTCCAATAGGGTAACGTCACGTGGCAAAGTGTAAACTAAAGTGTACACCATAGTGTACATGCAGCAAGGTCCTTACCCATTGAACTTTGCTATTTGTACACTGATTTTTGACATGTTGTTTGACACTTGCATCATTTTCAAGTGTCAATTGGACGGGAAAACTGTTTGAAATTTAAACTGTCCAACAGGGTAATGTCACGAGGCAAAGTGTAAACTAAAGTGTCCACCATAGTGTACATGTAGCAAGGTTCTTACCGATTCAACTATGCTATTTGTACCTCGATTGTTCACACGTTGTTTGACACTTGCGTTGTTCTCAAGTGTCAACTGGATGGGAAAACCGTTTGAAATTTAAACTGTCCAATAGGGCAACGTCACGTGGCAAAGTGTAAACTAAAGTGTACATGCAACAACGTCCTTACCCATTGAACATTGCTATTCGTATACTGATTTTTTACACGTTGTTTGACACTTGCATTGTTGTCAAGTGTCAATTGGATGGAAAAACTGTTTGAAATTTAAACTGTCTAACAGGGTATGTTACGTGACAAAGTGTAAACTAAAGTGGTACACCATAGTGTACATGTAGCGAGGTTCTTCCCGATTTAACTTTGCTATTTGTACACTGATTTTTGACACGTTCTTTGACACTTGCATTGTTGTTAAGTGTCAATTGCATAGTAAAACTGTTTGAAATGTAAACTGTCCAACAGGGTAATGTCACTTGGCAAAGTGTAAACTAAAGTGTCCACTACAGTGTACATGTAGTAAGGTCCTTATCGATTGAACTTTGATATTTGTACACTGATTTTTGACACGTTGTCTGACACTTGCATTGTTCTCAAGTGGCAATTGGATGGAAAAACTGCTTGAAATTTAAATTGTCCAAGAGGGTAATGTCACGTGGCAAAGTGCAAACTAAAGTATGCACCATAGTGTACATATAGCAAGGTCCTTACCCATTGAACCTTGCTATTCGTATACTGATTTTCGACACCTTGTTTGACACTTGCATTGTTGTCAAATGTCAATTGGATGGGAAAACTATTTGAAATTAAACAGTCCAACAGGGTAATGTCACGTGGTAAAGTATAAACTAAAGTGTACACCATAGTGTACATGTAGAAAGGTTCTTTCCGATTGAACTTTTGCCCATTGTAAACTGATTTTTGACACTTTGTTTGACACTTACATTGTTGTCAAGTGTCAATTGGATGGAAAAATTGTTTG